TGGGCGTGGTTATAGTCCGATTTCGCCCATTTTCAATACCAACCTACCTTGGATTAAGGGAAACCTACATACCAAATTTCGTTGAGATATCTCAATTTTTGCTCGAGTTATCGTGTACACGGACGGACGGACAGACGGACGGACAGACAGACATGGCTTAATCGATTTCTTTTTTCATCCTGATCATTTATGTATGTATCACATCTACAGGCCAAGCGCTTTAATATGACACCCAGTTTTGAAAATCGAGCGAACGGTGCAGATGTTTTAGGCTGCACAAAAAATGCCTTCGCGTATTATATATAATAGATAGATATCGTCGTATGTGAAGTTGTAGAAATTATTTTCTAGAGCGTAAAAACACTCATATTTCAAAATGGTTTTCTTTTTTATAAAGCAATCGCATTTCTGGATAGTATATTTCAGGACGAATGGATAAGGATTGAGCCAAGAGCTTGTGTGAGCAAATCCAATTTTTGGCAGCCAATGTCAGTTACGCGGTTTTGCAGAATGACGATACGCGGTTTTGTACTTTAAACGACGATATGTACATATGTATATATTTTCATTACCATTTTCAATACCAACCTACCTTGGATTAAGGGAAACCTACATACCAAATTTCGTTGAGATATCTCAATTTTTGCTCGAGTTATCGTGTACACGGACAGACGGACAGACGGACGGACAGACAGACATGGCTTAATCGATTTCTTTTTTCATCCTGATCTGTACATGAGCATGTATGTACTTCAAATAACAATTCTTATTGCTTAATTTAAGACACAATTTAATGCTTAGACGTATGGGTACAAAGTTTTAATGTAAATATATGCAAGCTTTAAGAATACATCATTGTTTATGCGTTTAAATATAATAAATATTGAATAAAATTAAATACATACTATTAAATACTTTTATTAATATACTGAATTCACAACATCAGCCATTTGAGCTCTTACAAAACAGCTTAAACCTTAGATCGGCAAATATTGGCCGTAAATTGGCGCCGTTCATTAAGCGAACTGCCCAACAAATCCTCGTCTAGCCATGTTTCCAGTGTCGTGGAACTGGAACGAAAACTGGACTTTTGGGACTCAGCATCCAACTTGAATTGAGAAACACGTTTTTCACTTTTTCTATTATTCCAATGTATGTCAGTATCATCATTCCAACTGTCATCAATGTAAAAATCGTCGTCCAACGAATTGCCATTAATGTCCCATTTGACAACGGGCATCAATTTGTCAAAGCGGTCGCGTTGCTCTGCAATAACAACTCTCTCAAAATTTCCAGGATTCTTAATTTCTAAATTCATTACATTCATAGGCACATATGCGGGTATATACTGTGAAATATAATGGACGGTTGGTGGTTGATTAGTATCGCTGGCATTGTACTCGTAGCTGCGCTGCGCTGCTGCGCCAATGTCGGCTCGTTTTAGTGGATCCGCCAACGGATCAATGCTTGGTGAGCTCTTGCTATGTGCGATGTCATCAACATCATCTAAACTCAAAGTGGATGGAGTGCGACGGAAATAGCGCACGTGCTTATTGTATTTGACTTTTTCAAATACCATTTCGCGCGCATCGAATTCAGGCTCATACGACACTATCTCCGAGACCGTGTCGCTGCGCAGTTGCTGTAAGCGTTGAAACTCATAGCCATCAGAGGCCAAAAATAGTCGTGACGTCAGACATTGGAGAATATGATTATTTTCGTGGTCGGTTAAGCTAAAGTCTTCACCGTCAGCCTCATAGGCTGATGAAGTCTCGAAATCATGGACGGGTTTATCTTCATTGAGGTTGCGCGGCTTAGTATTAAGTTCGTTCTCTGGCGGGTGCTGAGGTATTGAAGCCGGCGGTGGTTCTTCGTAACATGATGACACACCGTGATTAACATTGGAGATCTCGTCTTCCTCTTCAAGTTTCCTCGCAGACAACGGTTTAAGAGGTGCGATTTTCCGAAATATCTAAAAAGGATGGAAAGGATAAAAATCAGTGATTGTTTTATAAAAATTAGTTACAAGTGCGTATGTAAGCCACGAAAGTATTTGCGATGGGTGTCTAATGAAACAAATATACTACAAGGGATTGGTTGCACATACATACAGACTCCCATACACCTGCAGCACTAGTGAATGTATTCGCTAATTATCCAGTTCGGCTAAAACCCTAACAAAATTCCTGATATTTTTTTTTTTTTTTGAAAATTATCTGAAACAAATAACTTAAGGACGAGCACACCTAAAGTGAAGCGTTCTAAAAATACAATATGTATTAACGAAAAAATCAACTACAACAAAAACCACATGATCAAGTTTAAATAGCAGCAGAATAGCTGGTTGATTTTAGTTGGGTTTACAAGAAAAAGTGGAAAAGGAACAAGACTTTACGTGGAGAAATTAGTTCAGTGGGTAGTGTTGTTCCGATATCGCCATGTACTCGATTCATTTACTCTTTAAAAATATCGAAGAAAAGTATCGATGCTGCAAATGTATCGGAGAGAAATACTCGATACTTACTCGAGTAAGTTGATATTTATTAATAAGAACGTTGCGTTTTCTGCCGCCGCGGCAATGCGATGTCATGGGAAGAAAAAAAAATAAACAATTTGCGTACTTTCCGACCGAAACTTAGCAAAGGAGTAGCTACAAGTTTATTCGAGTACTTTCGGTCAAAAACTTACCGAAAGAGTAGCCACAAATCTTGAAAATGTGAAAATTTGACTAGTACGAAAACGCAGCATTAACGGTTTCTTCTAGGCTTGGGTAGTTCTTGAACTAAAAAAGTAGTTCACCTCAATGAACTAGCTTACTAGTTCGGTCTTCTCATTGAACTAAATTTGTAGGTGCTACAATTTCTCATTTTGAACCGCGGTCCAAATATTCTTGAGACGAACGTGTGCCGTTTTAAAGCACTTTTGCATAGTTGCTACTTCAATTCCTTGCGAACGAGCTACATACTAAACTAGAGTAGAACGCAGTTAAAATCAAACAAGATTTCTAATTTAATGTTTTTGCACTGGAATATGTAAGTGTTTACATATCGTACATTGTATTTTATTTATACGAAAACTCTGTAAATGATTGAAACGATGTTAAAATTAAATATGCTACGTATGTAACTATGTAAATATTTTTGTGTAATAACAATAATGCTAAGAATATTACCTTTACTGCAAATGTATGACTTCGATTGAAAAAAACTGTGTAGTTTTTATGTGATTTATGTTCCTAAACTTATTTATGTGCGCTTTTTATGTTTGTAAAAGTATTCTGTGAATTCAAACTAACAAAGTTTTTGTTTTGTATGTAATACATATGTATGATAATAAGATGATAATTCGCCATTTGAACTAAATGAACTGAATGAACTAAAGAACTAGTTCACTAAGGTGAGTGAATTACAACTGAACGGTTCACTCAAAGAACTAAAGTGCCCAACTCTAGGTTTTTCATTTCTTTAGCCAACTTCACTTTTTAACGAGCTGTCGAAGTCCGATTCTCCAACCGCTCAGCCTTAAGGCCAAGGCGAATTTATACAAGTTGGTGCAGATACTCATGGAAAAATCGCCACTTTTCCTTAAGTTTAAGTTCAAAATAAACAGTTTAGAAAAATTACTGACTTATATCAAGTTTGTCCGATGTATTTTACTGAAGTGATGTTTTGAAAAGGGATTTACTAAAATTTATGAATAAGTTACATACTTGGTAATAATAATGTATACCTGAGTGTCCAGATTTTTGCTCGTAAAAATTTATGAAATCGCCATTGGCGATTTTTGGCGATTTTTTCCCTTCAAATAAATTCTTTCCAATTATAAAAATATACAAAACTTAGTTTTCCACGATAATTTACAGAAGAGGCTAAGGAACTGCTGATACTGTGATAAACTTGACTTAAGAAGCTAATATGCTGTCAAGAATGTTTAATCACCCTAATCGAAGAACTTTTGAAACGATCAATTAAATACTTTCAAAAAGCTTTGGTTTTGTCACCAGAAAGGTGTGTGAATCACAAGAGAGCGAGTTTCAGGGACCTGCCAATTCACTATTTGACTTTGAAGGAAAGAAAAGTAGCGGAAACTGAATATTTAAATCTTTTAACTTTCACATGGTCCATTGAATAACTTTTTTTAGAACCATTCCATCCGACTATGAAGAAATTTGGATAATTGCTTACGAATTGGAAACCGCAACAGGCAATAAAATGTTTGGAAATATATGTAAGTAAAATAGCCTTCGTATTATTATCCTTGCCGCATTCATATGAATTCAACAAAAACTAAGATTGGAAATATGATGAGGTTGGAAAGCTTTAATTCAATAGTTCGAATAAAGTTTTATATGAAGGCTAATAGTTTCTGCTGCAAAACATTTCCAATATCAAACAGTATGTTATCAAGGTTGAATAGATCAATATATGACAACAAAATATATAGCTGATATCGCATTATTATAGGTTTTTATTTTATTTTTAGCGCCGAGCTCTTAAAAGCGGATTGTGCGATTAATCAATTAATATGAATAATNCGTCACGTGACATAAATTTCCATCGTTATATTTTTGTTAATATTGCTTTTAAATGAATTTTTAACGCAAATAAAACATGACTTTTATGTAGAATATACTTTATATTTTGACTTCAGCGGCAATTCGGGGTGAATTTGTTGGAAATCTATGACTTATTATGTTTCAACTACATACGCCAAATTCGAACCAAATCCGACCATAAATACGGTTTTGCGAAATATCTCAACCTTGGCGCCACCTAGGAAGACCATTTTACGCAAAC